CATGGGGAAATCATATTGAAATAGTTATGATTATATTTTGTTAGTTATCAGAAACTATTAGATATTGTATTTAAACAAGTATCGCCACAGATGTTAATGCGGTTGAATTATATTTATGGCTTTGGAAAGCCAAAGGAACTAAGTATAAAAAGTAAGTATTAAAAGCGAAGCTTTTTTACATCTGAATATTATATAAATCAGTGCCAGTACACAGTTGAAAGAGCGATGTTCCAAATACACGTTCCAACTAGTTTTAACATCTACGTTGTGATGGCTTTGGTTGTATGTCAAGAATATGAATTAGTACAGTTTTAATTGATTTTCCGCAAAATAACATTTTGACACTTAGTTCCCTTGCTTTTGCAAGACCTCATTTATTGTGGTAGTGATGGAAATAATGGTGGAAGTATGAGTTATTTACGTTAAGGCTCAAATTGCTCTACAATATAATCACAAATCACATTGTACTTCCTTCTCTTTCTGTTGCTTTCGAAAAAAATGTTCTTTCTATACGGAACGTTTCATTTATTTTGTTTCTTACATTCTCATTGATTGAAAATAACTTTTGAATATTCATTTAATTTTAATCTTTATTTTATATTCCTTTTACTAAAACATTTTGACGCTTTAGCGGTTTCTTTAATTAATTTTGAATACAAACGCGTACTAGTGATCTCAATTCAAGCAATTTGACAGCTGTATATAACTATGTACAGGATATAGGATAATCATATTTAATGAACACGTTTGTAAATGTATCAATTCGTATTGAGATTAATGTATTTTTCTCGATATTAGCATTTACAGTCGTTCAAAATTGTTAACAAAACAAAGTCCTATTGATGGAGGAAAAAGTAGAGGGGCTAATAAGCACTAAATTAAAGGTCTGCGTATATTGCACGCCCATTGTATTACACGCCCATTGGTTTGTACGAACGTTCATGTAAATTCTGTCATAAGTGAATTAGATTAATAATCCAGGACATTACAGATTATACCTTTCAATAATATCTTCTAATCATATAAATATGTATTGAGATATAAAAGAGTTCTGTTGCTAAGTGGTGGTTAAGGTCGTTTTATCAGATCACACACTGGTTGAATTGAAATTGTTTTGAAATATTGTTGAACCATTCATGGAAATATGAAAGTTAAGAGGAAAAAGTGGATAACACATTGCTAAGTGGTTGCTAAAATGAATATTATCGCTCTTCAATGTTAATATGATCGAAATTATAAGTCTTTATAACAATGTGCAATTCAATTTTTTCTTGCTGCTTTGTTGTGTAAAATTCTAACAAGAATAACCTTGAATGGGATATCATTGATCTCACTCCCTCCTCAAAATCAATTTCGCGAATTCAATGGTGTGGCCAGAAAGAAGGGGACAGCTTCAATTCGCAACCCTCGTCGCAACATTACAAGTGCCCAAACCATTGAGTTGCACTCGCCACCACTTAAGTACGTTCATTACCAGTTGGAACGGTGGCCTCTGGTTTACGGCGGAGTGGCGCGCTAGCGTCGGCGCGGCGGTTGGCGCTCGCTGGCCGTGGTCTTGCAGTGCAAGCGCGTGAGTTCTCTTGGCCCACGTGTGCCTCGGCCGCCGACCCGTGGCCTTGAACCAATTCGGCTGCCGCGCCCACCCTCGCCTTCGCCGTCGGTTCCTCCTTCCCCGGGCGCCCAACCCCACCCTCGCACCGCTCACTGCGTCCACCATCTTCACTAACACCGCTTCATCAACGTCGAGCCCTTTTGACGTAATTTCCTTTATACTGTGCAATTGTCTCTCATTCACCGTTGCCTCTTCCGGCTTATTTCTCTGTTCTTGTTCTCTCCCCACCTCCAACGTTCGCCCTTATATCACCCCTTCCGCCCTTTTTGCGCTAACCCCAGCCCTTCCACCATTTTCCATTATCCACCACCACTTCTCACTCCCACCAACATCGATCGTGAACTACTTAATTCGATCTCCATTTCGTCCTCTACTGAATCGTCAATCACGCCTTTCCATGCCGGCTTTCGTAGTTCGTTTGCCCCGTCACACCCAACAACATTCCAGTAACAGATCCCTCTTTGAAACATACGCTACTGCCCGCAGACTCTATGTGTACTTTCGAAATCTTAACCTTCATCCTTCACCGTTCATTTGTCACATTCAATTTTTTCCTTCCTTCGCCTTCTCCCCAGCTCCTGTTCCTCTCTTCTCTCCCTCGACTTCGCATCGTGTAATCTTTTTTTTTTCTTTTGGGCAGTCTGGTTGCTTCGGTGCTCCCAAGAAGTCAAAGGGTGACAGTCGAGCATCTCATCTTTCTAAGGTCACGGGCGATTTCGGTCAAGATAGATGCCAGGCCTTGCCGCTCAATAAATCTACGTTGTCCTGATTGCATTTGGAATGTAAACAAACACGAGAGTCAATTACAGAGAACATCTCTGTGAGAAATGTTTAAATGATATTTCAAGTCGTCGGAATGTAGTAAGAGGTTATCAGTCATTTCAAAACTTATTTATGTTAAAGTAAGTAGTACACCGTCATGCTAATTAGCAAACATTTGTAACTCCATATTACATCCTCTATTTTCTGTTTACTTGATGATAAAATATAATTATAAAAGAGGAGCAATAAATAAAAGTAAATAACAAATAGAACATCTTAAATACTAATTGAGTTCCCCAGTATTTATAAGTTCAATAAGAACGGAAACTAAAATTCTGCTTTTCGGCTGTTTATTATTTTCATTGCAAAACTCTTTAATCTGGAGTTACATGCTATACTAATTAGTACGACGATATATTTCTGGAAACACAAGTCAAGCGAAATCGAGAAAAACGTTTCAGAGCTACAACTTGTTTGAATTAATATATGGCAACGTAGATGTTTGTACGACTGTATTGATCTACAAAATATTTTCTGCTTTCGAATTCAAGTAGTGCTTTCAAAGGGCCTCTACAACAGTGGAGGGAGGGAGGGAGGGAGGGAGAAGAGTGAGGTCGGGAATAGGGGGAAGCAGGGTAAAAGAGAAGAATGAAGATCGGAAGCGGGGAGAGAATATGAAACTATGCCCGCTAACATTTCACAAAGTATGTCATTTGCCTTTGTGTTTTATTAAACCTAGTTCTCCAATCTCTTCAACATTAGGCATATTATTTAAAACTAATTTTTTTCAAAGAGTCTGTTGGTGTATACGGAGTTAAGTGACGGAGAACAGAAATATTGAGAATGATAAGAGGGTAGAAACTATCCAGAACTCAAAAATAACTTCACGAATTCATATTTCCCTTCCCAAGTTTTTCATGAACGAATGAATTTCGAACCCAAAAAAGTTAACATCTGACAATTTCAATTTGGATTGTGCTTTTGTTTTTTTTTTACTTTTTTCAGTATCTTCTTGTACCCAGACTCTCCCGCAGAAACCCAGCACACTCTAACGCGCCCCTGGACTCACACGTACCTACCCTCCCAAACAAACTCTAATTTCACCTCGCCCCCATTCACTCCCTCGTACCCTCCCAGTGCCTTATCCGGCCTCAAGAAATGTATTGTGAATGAAAAGCCCATGCCCGCCGGGTGTAGCCGCGTGAACGCGGGGTCCTTGCTCCCGATGCGTTGCCCATGGGCAGCGGCGGTGGCTTGACTGTCCCGCGGGCAGCGAAACCAGCGTTTACGCGCCCCTTATCTCGATCGCCCGGAGATTTGTGGCGCATGCGCGTTGCTTTTGTTCGGGACACAAAGCGAGCCCCGCGCGCCCATTGTTTATGGCAGGGTTTGCCAAACGTTTTCAGCAGGGAGCCACCAAAACATTGGGCGTATTGCTAGAGAAATTGTCCGATAAGAATGCCCACAAAATGTTGAATTCAATTCCGCTCTGATTTGGTCAAAGGAAATATCTGTGACTTACTAAAAACCAACAGCAACTGTTAAAAGATACGAGAATGGAATGGTCGCATTTCTCACATAAGACTCACTTAAGACTCACTCTCACTTAAGACGTGAAGTGAAATTAATAATGTACTCCCCTTTTAACAAATTACATCTCAGTGAACCATGGACCTGATTTGAAGAACAGTTTAGCTCCCTAATGCAATGGATAACGGTAGCAAATAGTTTGGAACGCACACGACGAATTTTGACCTTCAATTTTTGAGCAGCTCCAAAAGCAGGACATAGGTTGTATAGGGTGAATGGGATAGCATTTACCAGCAGACCACTTTTTTTCAATTCACACTGATCGGTAGTGCAAATGGTACCGAAACTGTCCTCCAGAATGAATGCTTCAATTGTGAAACGAAAACGACATATGCTTATTTCTTTTGAGAGTGTTTGCGTTTTAACGTAGACAGTAGCGTAGACCTCAAGCTCAATATCAATATATCTCAATTTCAATATCTTACTTTTTGTTCCCAGGCATAAGCCGACTTCTCTCTAAGTTCATTTAAAGTGAAAAACTGTTGCATATGAATTGAAAATTGTAATTACTTTCGGAATCCCGTTTGATTCATTGAAGTATCTGTAAGATATTTTACTAATAAAGATGAATCAAAACATGAGGTTTTTGAGCGTTAACGGACGATGAGCATTTAGAGAATTTCATGCTATTCTGAAAATAAATACAGAAATAAAATACATTCGTTAACTTATTTTTGTATATTTTACTTTGGCAATTTAATGTGAAAATAAATATATATTTGAACGCAAAAGACGATAGAGGCAGACTTGCACCGAGGCCCTGAGTTTGTGTACCCCTATTTTATGACGGCCCCGTCGTCGTGAATAGCGTGCCATGCGACTAGTGGGCATGATAGCAGATGTAATCGCGGGATTTGTGGTGAGCTGTCATTTCTATACAAATTAGTTTCTACAACTGTAATTTCTTAGATCTGTCAAAGTTTATCAGGCTCTCCCGCCTTCGTTGGGAGCATATTGCTGGAGATAAGGAGGTACTTGGTAGACGTAGAATGCGGAATGCGCTGTTCGACTGTTGAACGAAGGAACACGTCTTTGGTAGAAGAAACTCCGATGTTATCAGAGACTGTAAAACCTCTCTTGGTAAGATATATTCAGCTATGGGGTACTCAATTGACACGGGATGCTATTTTCAAATGTTTTATGAATGGGAAATATAAGGGAATTGAAGAAGCACATTAAATAATTGGAATACACAGAAATTTATCATATGATGGGAATTACCGTATAGAAATGTTTACAGTGAAAATACTAGAAATTGTGTATTAATAACATTAAAAGTTGTATTGTCAAACGTAGAGTAACATTGGTGGTTGTGAATATAGTAACATGTAGGCAATTTCTTCAAACAAATTATGGCACTAAACTTTGCTCCATATATATGATCAAATAATATTTCTCAAGTGAACGAGCACACACCAGTATGAATTTTCCCCATGGCATAAACGGGATAATTCAATTTTTATTGTTAATGATCAATGTTTTTTTCAAAGCAACTAATATCTATTTTATTTCTGGCTCGACCTATTTTTGTTGATGAGTATATTTTACTAATGTTTCTTCGAGAACAACCACATATTACTGTAAAGTCTATATTTGCAATACCAAACCTTCTATTGTGATCTTTTATTTGAGATGCTTCTAGAACATCATCCAACAGATAAACAGCTCTAGGTGGAATTTATTAATTGTCACATTAGTGATTAAATAAGCTGATATTACTGTGATTTTGAAATTCAATGTTCACATACCGATGTCTGTCTTAAGACTGTTTCCAGCCGAAGCCGTTTTCCTATGGTGTGTACGATAGCATGTCCCACAAGGCAGCTATTTCTTCAGCATTTCACACTGATCGTCCGTGCGAACGGTTTTGAGACGAACGCTGAAATGGCGAAACAAAAAGGCAGCGTTATTCATTTCTTTTTGACCGCTTTTGAGAGTGCTTTTGAGAGCACCACCCAGTGGGAGCATCCCGAACACGAACTTCGCGCAGTCCTCGGATCTGGAAGCAGCAGAACGCGAGGCCCACTGTGACCCAACTCGCTAAAAGCCGAACGACAAACATTCGTGCGCAGAGCCGGATGCTAGCCCGCGACCCTTCGACACCCGAGAGTGCGCTCTGACATCTTCTTTCATCCAGAATAAATGTGTGTGTGTTTGGTATCTATCTTCCGTACTTTTGCTCATTTGTAACGTTTCACGGTGTGTCAAGCGCAGAACAAGAGCATAATCTTTTTAAACGCAACATGGACACTCATTTCAAAGCCTAATTAACAAAGGGGCAGACGAGTGTGAGGATGGGAAGAGACGCGTTTATCCGAGCCGTGTCGCGTCGCGTCGCGTCGCGTCGCGTCGCGTCGCGTCGCGTCGGGTCGCATCGCCGCCGCCGCCGCTCCGCGGGGTTTCCTTCTGAAGGCCGCGCGCTGTTCCGCTCCGGGTGGAAGCGGCGGGGCGGAGAGGGGCGGGGAGAGAGGGGCGGGGCGTGGGCGGGCGCGGCGTCACGCGCGGTAGCTGCGCGGTGCGCGTCCGCCAGCCGTGACCCCGCGGGCGCTGCTCCTGCGCCAGCGACGCGACGCTCCCGCGACGCGACGATGAGTCTAGTTGAGATAAGACTAGATCAAACTACAGAAATGAAAAAGCGACGTGGAAGAATGATGTGTTGATACTAATAACAATAACAAAATAATTATAATGGTATTATTATTACTATTATTATTACTATTATTACTATTATTATTACTATTATTATTACTATTACTAATTATTATTATTATTATTATTATTATTATTATTATAGCAAGGCTCTGGCCATAGGACTTGCTCGTCTACCTCACAACGTCATACTGAAATATTACAAATTTAAATAAATTGTTTGTAATTTTTAAGTTTTATAAATGTTTAATTTTTATTTACATAACGTAGGAAATAACCAGTAATAAAAACTAATATTGAAGACAACATCTCATGGTCTCTTTAGGTTTATTATACAGTGACGTCAAATATTAATAAAATACTTTCTCACAAAAATCTGAGAGTAGTATAATTTAGTAAATATTTATCAAACTAATGGAATTTATTATTGACAATTTACAAAAATGAAACTTTTGGATATTATGAAAATAACATAACCAACAGGATTGGGGCAAAAAAATATCCATGCTTCTGTGGCTATCTGTTCACGCATATGGTGTTTCCATAATTTCATTAAATATCAAAGAAGAGTGTTTCACTGTGCTTTGAGTATACCGATTCGAAATGATACATTTTTCTGGTAATATTTTTATCTTGAACCACGGAAATGTCATCGACTAATAGGTAGCCTAAGAGGCTAACTTCTTAAATATAATTATCAAATTCCTCAAAATAACCTAGTTTAAATATGGTACTAAAATACTGAAATCTGGGCATTTTTTTTGATGTTCTTACAGGTAATGTGGGACAAAATTAGTGTGGTTATGAACAGTAACGCTTATCGGAATGTAAGCGAATTGAAATCTAAGAGAGATCAATACATATAATGAAGATGTTTAGTTATCAAGTTGAACCAAGTTGTTAGGGATATTAAAAATGTGTGATTTTTTCTCTTGAGAAAATAGTGCCAGCGAAACTATGGTCTTTCGAGAGAAACGTTACTTCAAATACTTTCTCAGCGAGTTAGCTGTTGTCAAGTAAATATCGCTGTTCATACTTTCCAAAACCAAACACATTAAGAAAACTGTTGCAAATATTACATTTTTTTAATCATGTGGTTACACCTTGACAAGAAATTAGTTGAGGGGAAAACCAGAATGACGAATATCGCATCTATTCAGTAGCAAACCGGATCTTGAGAGTCTCGAAAACTTGACACTTATTTGCGTATTTACTGAGTTCGGCAAAGGAAAAGTTAGACGTGTGTTTCTTCAGAACAAGTGGCCAATTTTTCATCGTGTTAGGAAACACTTAAATGGCCCCTTATATTACGAGGAAATGTTTCCCAATTCTGTTCTCTCTACGTCTCTTGTATATGAGGGAAATTACTTAAAGAAGTCTCTGTGAGGCTCTGTGACCATAGTTGTTGCGTCACAAAGAGAGTGGCACCAGCTATGGCAAACATGCTCTGTTTGATGACGGATGTGTCGTAGTCTGTGCGTAGAGTACCCTCCTTAGATGTAGATTCATGGAAGTATTTCTTCAGACGCATGGAGGAGTGTGTGCCGAGTAGGATCGTGGCAAAGCATAAAATGACTTAGAGTTATGGAACTGTGTTCATCATAAGTTGTCCGAAAACGATGTTGACATGATCATTTGAAGGATGAAATTGAAGAAAAATCAATAGGAAGAATCACAATATGATGGAGTATTATAATTTCAGTCAGATCGATGAAAGCCATAAAATTAATACGCTTATTTTTTAGTAAAACCTACAAAATCATACTTACGATATTTATTCGTCTGTTTTACATTTTCTTTTATCGGGGGCCATATCTTATGTTTTATTTAATTATTGAAAATGTGCCGTTAAAAGTAAGAGCAGTAAATAATTCAACCCTCTGCATTTCAATTGAGCAAGTTGATCGAAATGTCATTTTCCCAAGTAACAATATTCGAGTACTTGCTGTCTGAAATAAAAAGCTATGGAATGAAAAATCTCGTAAATGCTTCACGGACAAGAGGTGAATCAGGGTGCTAAAGGTTAGAGCGTGCGGTATGAAACGCTTCATCACCCACAACCGCACAGAAAACACTCCTATCAGTTCAACCGTAGCGAAAGAATCCCTTCTCCAAGTGGAAGGTCATGGGTTCCGTGTTGAACGAATACGGTAAAGGTTATTTGGGGACATTTGATGTGCAAATGGACACAAAATATTTTAGAACTTTTGTATTATACAACTATTAAAATTTTCTACCATGCTAAACACGAATTTTCGTTTTCAAATAGAAAGATGTGGTTCATTTTTAATTTTTCACAATTATTAAATACAGTTATAAGTTAGAGAAGCAAAACTAGCGTGCTTTCAAATGTAAAGATTAGTTATTGTATACCAATTGCAATTAAATTTTGATACATTTCTACCAATGGTCGTTTAAAAAGCATGTTACAGCCGATAGATGGGATTTTATATTAAAATGGCATCACGTAAAAATTCTAAATTGTGTTGTACCTTTCAGAGTAATTGATTTTGAATACCGTTTATTTCTAAATTAACGATATACAAGAAACATTTACGGTAATCGCCGTATCTTGGAGAAACAAACTCTCGTATATTCTAGGAAAACAGCTTCAGGAAACTCAAGAAACTGTGACCATGGAAGTGCCCGAACTAAATGTATTAAGAAATTCAGCAGGAGGTGATGTTGAGAGTTTTGAAGACGCGCTGTGCGTTCAATAAGCCTCTTAAATCCACATCAACGGCGGCAAAAATTATACGACACAGCTTACAGATATTTGTTTGAATTTCGATTGAAAAGGAAGGTTTATCTTTAGCATATGTTCACCAAATCTCGAAACCGGAGGCATTTGTAAGGACAGAGACTCGTCCTCGGACCTCAAGATCAACACCAGACGTGACAAACCGTAATCGTCAGCACGCTACCAGAATTTGAACTACGAAATTGGCAGGCTCTGAGATGGTGACATTGATGCGGCATCAGCATCGGTGGAGGTGCCAGAGATGGTGAGGGAAGGGATGAAGTTGGCGCTTTAGTGATATTAACGGGACTGACGTGTGTTTGTTGGCCGGCAATGGTGACATGGAATAGGATAATTGGGAGGTGGGAATGTCTGGCTGGAAGTAATTGAGGTGTTGGCTGTGATGGGGAAGGTGGATGTGGCAAGGACGCTGGATTTGGTTGTACGATTTTTTTGGGGGAGCGATAAGGGGCAAGGTGAGATATTCTAAGGAAAGGAATGGGGAAACGAGAGAGGGAATGAAGCTGGTAAGTGGCGGAGAGGAGGGTTAACGTGTTGGTGTTGCAATTGGGGACGGCTTTGTGGGCGTCAGTGGAGACGGCGGCGGACACTGCGTCTTGGGGAAATTCGATTGGAAAAAGATTGGAAAAGCGTTTGGGCGGAATGGAGGTAGACGGCGGGGCCAGCGTTG